CAGTATTATCCAAAGTGTGCATTTAATAGGCACTATGCCAAAAATAGGTTACAGGGGAATAATTTTGGAATGTTAGCTTAAGCAACAGATCTCTTACAGCAGTTCTTGAAGCCTTTATGTAATATAGACTAAATGGTATCCTGAAGCTCCAAGAAGAAAGAGATAGTCTAACTTTTTCTGATCACTGCCTGACTGACTGAACAGCCCTGGCACCTGTACTTCACAGAACACATTTTGTGAGACCAAAAAAAGGAAAATCGGTATTTGCAGTACTGTTGCTCTTATTTACATTCAGTTCTTCCGGATTTCTTGAAGTCTGATGTTAAAGATACAGTATGATATAAATTGGCATGTTTATGCCAGTTTTGTGCTTTTATTTTTATTTAAAATTAAATATTTTTTTTTTTTCATTCTGGGCTGCAGTTCTCAGAGTTTTCCCCTAACTCTGCACTCAGGGATCACTCCTGGCAGTGCTCAGGGTGCTGGAGACCGATCGAACCTAGATCAGGCATGTGTAAGGCACGCACCTTATCTGCTGTGCTACTTCTCCAGCCCCTAATTTCTGCCTTTATCTTAACAAGATTTTACCATTACTGTAAATAATTATACAAATCAGATGATTCACCCAGACCATAATATTTCAGAGACAAATAATTTAGGCAAAAGTAAATTATGCCAGAAGTAAATCATTATATAAATAATAATTGCACAAATCAGATGAATAATCCACAAGACATTATTTAGCCAAAAAAGACAAATGATTTTCCCTAAAGTAAATTTAGCCCAAAATAAACCATGGCCCTCACCAGAACATCTGTAGTAATACCACTAATTCAGAGTGAAAAGAAACTGAAGAAAAGGGGTAGGTATCCGAATCAAATGGTAGAGCTCATCCCTGACTGCGTGAGGGCTTGGCTCTATTCCTGGCACCACAGACCCCCCAACAACCAGTTTCACCCAGACTGGCTCTTATGCCCTCCTTACCCCCCGTCCCCCACCCCTACGCCCCTGGTATTACCATCAAAAAAAGAGAAACTAAAGAATTATTTGTGTCCTCCTTGATGCTTGTGGGAGTATATAGCATTCCCGCGTGAGCTATGTGGTGATTAAACCTTTCCTAGCTCGAGCGTGAGACTACAGACCAGGGGCCAAAGGACAGGACTGGCCTTCAGTGACTTTAATGTTTGAGTTAATTCCCAACTCTAGCAAACCTTAACGTTTCCTACCAAAAAAATATCTACACTTCTAACCAGTGCTGACTGCTATTCACAAGTGACCCATTCACATTTGCTGGAATCTTCTTCTTTTACCTGAGTGGCTAAAGGCGAGGTGGCGGCCCTGTGCTAGAACGCTTGTGTGTGTAGAGCCCTGGGTTTGACCCGTTTGTACTTAAAAACAAAGGAAAGGAATGGTGCTTACTGCAGTGTGTCACTGATACTTGCATAAAGAGTTTTGCCCTTTTGGGGGTTGCTCAGGGCTTCTTCCTGGCTCTGTGCTCTGGGGTCACTCCCTGTAGTGCTCAGGGGACCATATACCAGGGGTCAAAGCAGGGTCAGCTGCCTGCAAAGCAAGTGCTAAGCCCTTGTACTATCTTTCTGGCCCGGGGTGTTTACTTTTACCCTTTAAAGGATTTTTTCATAGAGGCTTGACACATTTGTGGCTCCTTACTCAGCCTCACAGGAATTTGGTTTTATATAAATCCGAGTTTGAAAACACAAGGTAGTACACATGTGTTGCGCCTGCACATGCGTCTTGCATCTCCCCTCTTGAGATGTTACTTTGGACCCTCTCCATTCTGGAGAGTCCCACATTCTTTCTCGAACACATCCCTTAACTTACCTCTCCTTCCATCCCTTAACTTCCCAATAAACATGTCATATTTCACTAATAAAAACCAAAGTGATGAGTGCTGGTACAGCAGCACTTCTGTCTCTAGGGCCTCCTCTACAAGCAGATGTGGTCAGATTGCTCCAGTAAGGACCTCTGGGGTCTTGCCAGGCCCACTTAAGGACCCTTCCTCGTACCTATGCTCTGCACGTGAGGCTTTACCATCAGGGTATAGCCTATTTGGCAACATTCTGAATAATGGTTTCACAAGCACACATCTGGTGAGCCCTTGATTGTCAAAGTTATCTTTCTAAGGAGAAGTTTATATTGAGTTAGGACAATTCATCCATTCTCACAAATTATCATTAGAAATTACTCAAAAGCAGTTTTCCTTTAAATTCTTCTATGTAAGAAAGTTGACTATCTTGTCAAAGTCCGATATTATGTAAGAGAGAATGCACATGCCTATAGATCGAGATACAGGTATCAGAACCACAAAACACAGTAATTGAGAAAGAAAATGATTGGTACCCCTTTTTCTTTGCATGAAGTAGGAGAAGAAACTTTGGAAGATGGAGAGTGTATGTTGTGTGAGATTGGTCTTCATTTCAGAGAGAAACCCAAGTGCTGGGTGGAGTCTCTCAGCGTTAACAGTACCAGGACATTACCTTTTTGTTTTGCATGTAGAGTGTGCTAATACTGCCCTGTTTTTGACTTTGTTCTGGAGTGAGTTTTAAGCAGCTGTTTCCTGGTAGCAGCTGGGAAATGTAGGTTTCGTGAATAAGGTTACTTTTCTCCTGAGCCCTTTTATTTTTACCTAATCTTAAATGCCATGAACAGGGTCAGGGAATGAATTGGGTATAATGTGATAAACCAAGGACTGGGGAAGGGGCTGGAGAGAGAGCACGGTGGGTAGGGCGTTTTCCTTGCACGCGGCCGACCCGGGTTCGATTCCCAGCATCCCTATGGTCCATGAGCACTGCCAGGAGTAACTCCTGAGTGCAGAGCCAGGAGTAATCCCTGTGCATCGCCAGGTGTGACCCAAAAAGCAAAAAAAAACAAGGACTGGGGAAGATGCAGGATGACAGGAGACAGTCCTGAGAGCTCTCTGCAAGATTCCAGGTCATCTGCAAATTCTTTTGAGCAGGTAGCCTCCAACTTATTTTAGAAGTCTTGACTTTTCTGTACTTATGATTAAGTGAAACCAGACCTCTATGGGTACTACTCAGAAAGGATTTTCATTTGTCAAATGAAGTGATCCATGAAAAAAGAATTGTGGAGGGCTAAAGAGATAGTCTAGTGGGTAGGGTGCTTGCCTTGTACGTGGCCGACCCAGGTTTGATTCTCAGCATCCCCTGTGGTCCCCCAATGCCTGCCTGGAGTAATTCCTGGTACAAAGCTAGGAGTAGACCTTGAGCATCACCAGGTGTGGCACAAAAACAAAAATAAAACTGGTGTGGTTGTGTTGTTGATTACATAAAGGTGGAGCAAATGCCTAAAAATCTGAACAGAATTGCATACCAAATCCAAGTTTTCCAGGACGAGGGAAGAAATGGAGATTTTTATGGCATGTGGCTAACTGGTGGAGGCAACTGTATTATAATAAAAGGCAAAGTTGGGTACTTAAGGTTGTTGGCAATGAGTGGTAAGAGTAAATTCACTGTTTATAACCGAGCAGTATTGACTTCCGAGTTGATTCTACATTTAAAGGTATAATTAAGAGAAATGATACTTTTACTTGAGAGTACGGCTAATGCAAGGAAGCCACAGGAGAAATCATTTCTTTGTGTGACATGTTGACATTTCAAGCAAGAGGAAAGAAAACCTTGTTGAAAAATTCAAACTTTATTTTGCTTCCTATCCTAATGTTGAGAGGGGAAGGGTGACCCAGGCTCCCTAAGGACAGAGAAGGGCCTCCCTGTGCTTGTAACCTGCTTTACTGGGTGAGGTGAACTGGTTTCGGGCAGGGCTAAAACTCACCCTTTAATAGGAGAAGGCTTTTCCATTTTTGTCTTCCTTGTTTTGTTCTGTTAAAAGCTATTATTTGACAATTCAGTTATGATTGAAAGTATAATTAAAGATTAAAATTCTAAGGAAATATTTTCTCTAAAAAATAAAATAGTGCAAACCATGGGTAGGAAGTCGAGACCCAATGAAGGTGTATTACTAACTAGAATGGAATATTGCAAGCTTTCTTTCTGTATTCTTTGAAAATTTACTTCAGTTTCTAGACCTGCCTCTTTTTAACCAGTCTCATTTGGGAAAATCAGATAAATCAAAACTAGGTAACCATTTGTGTGTTTGGGGCCACTGGTGCTATGTTGATGAGGATTGTTCTGTGTTAAAACCGTATCAGTGAGTGAGAAATGTTTTCACGTTAGAGGATGATAAGAATTGAGAAGCCAAGCATAGAGATTTTTAAAAAGGAAAAATGTTCCTGGGGTTGGAGAGATAGTACAGTGGTTAAGCCCGTGTGCAGCAGACCTGGGTTGACTCCCCAGCACTACATGTGGTCCCCCCAGTCCACCATGAATGATTACTGAGTTCAGAGCTATGAGTAAGCTGTGAGCACATCCAAGTGGGGCCCCAAAACAAAGAAAAAAATTTAAATTATTCCTAATTTTTGTGCTGAGAAAAGTGCTGGCCTAGGGAGATAGGTCAAGGGCCAGAGCAAATGCTTTGTATGTGGGAGCTCCTGAGTTTGACTCCTGACTTCCACCCCCACCCCCACCCCCACCACCGCCCAGCATCGCTGGGAACAGCTTCTAAGCACTGAATCGGGAGTAGCCCCTTTGATACTGTTGTGAGTGACTCCAAAACAAAAACAAAGTGCTATATTGTCATAAGCACTGTGACAGTCTGCCGTGTATTAAATGGATCAGACTCCAAAACCAAGGATCTGTCTCTTAAAAAACTCCCTTAAAGGAAGAAAAAAGAGCTAAACCAGTGAAAAACACTGGTCTTCAGTGGCGAATATAGAGCTTGTAAGTGGATTTCCCAAGAGGGCTAATGAAAAGCACGTAATGCAGATGACAATAATTAATATAACCGGGTGTTCTTTGGGTTGTGTATGTGGTAAAATGCACAAATCAGTGGGTGTGTCTTTAGTCGCCTTATTCTCATTTGGGGTTGATGGAAATGAAGTAAGGACCAAGTAAACGACTTTTTTTCAGGTGCAAATTCGACCATGGAACCTAAGTGACAGTGACTTTGTAATGGATGGTTCTCAGCCTTTGGACCCCAGAAAAACTATCTTTGTTGGGGGAGTTCCACGACCCCTCCGAGCTGGTGAGTGGAAATAGTCACACCACAACAACAAAGCCAACAACCAAATCCCCAATGCATTTAGCCTTCGATATTTTCTAGGTTTTCAATCAGCTATACACAGTCTCCAAATACAAGGCTGGGATGGTGGTTTCACTGAGTTGACTTTTTGAGGATTAAATCTTTTCTGCCCCCAATGATCTATTATGGTACAAGAATGAATTTCATTAAACTGGTATTTTGAATGGATGAATTCTGTTTAGTGCTTTCCATGTATTTTTAAAATAACCATATATTTGATTGTGTGCATTCTTACCCTGGCTAGCCTTGTGATGTGTAGGGGGGAAAAAAGCCACCCCATCAGAAATCTGTCCTGGGCATCTGTGTGCCCCACACAGTGATGGTCCATGCCACTGCTGGAAATTGTGTTGCTGGGAAGCCAAATGTACTCAGTTATTTTCTTATGCACTTCAAAAAATTATATATTTTAGAATAATTACTGTGACTTTTAAAAGTTTCCATGTTGTTGTTTTTAAACTTCCTTTTTAATGATTAATCATTGCACCTGCTGGAATTGGGCAGAGTCGTAGTTGACAGAAGCATTTGCAATGGTGCTGAGCTGATGACTTCAGTATTTAAATCCAAAGACAGATCTAATCAGCCGTGGATCAGTGTTATTGCCAAGAGAAAATGATAAAATGATTTATAAGAACCAAATCTTTCAGCTCTTCAAATAATTGAGTGTTTTAAGATGAAAAAATACTTGGGATAGTACTGTCTGTCATTTGTCAGAGAGTACATTGATTTGATCTGCACACGTACACACACAAAAGACCATTAAAATCAAGTTATGAAAATAAGAGTTATGACATATGTGTTATGACAGACTTTATGACTCTGATGAATTCTTAATTCAGGAAATACCTCAGCATTTCTAATGTTTCTAATTCAACTCCAGTCTACTCCTAAAAGATAAGTTCAGACATACATAAAAATATACCCACGATTTCATCTTGCAGGATTTTTAGACTCATGAATGACAAGTGTGGCACTTGTAATTTTAAACTTTTTAAGATATTAAAATGACTTTGGGTTTTTTTGTTACTTTAGCGGAAAACTGTATTGAAGGGGAAAAAAGCAAAACTGAGATCCCACCCCTTTATCTGCTGTCAGAGAATAAAGCCTAGAAGGGCAGCCTCAGACATGAATAGCCCTCTGAGACAAAGGCAACCGCCACCCTTTGTTTTTGAAGCACTTGTATTTAAACATAAAAACTTGGGTTGAATGCAATTTGGAACATTCCTACTAACGGGTGTTAGGCGTAGGAGTAGAAGGAGAAAAATCCCTTTGTGATATTCTTTTAATTATATATGTGTTCTATATATATAGGTATCCACTGCTAATATTCTAGCTATTTTTTCTCACAATTTACTACAACAAAGTAGTTTAAATATTTTAGCTCTTCTCTTCTTTTCCTAGATGAGAGTCTGGGGTTGGGGGAACTGAGAAAAATCTCACTGTGTAAATAAAAGCACTGATCCCTATGTCTGTTTGTAAATTACACAAAAGTTTATAGATTAATTTTTAATTGTTATTATCACCACTTATTATTTCCATTTATTTCAAAGGGTAGATAGTGGGTTCTATCATTTTCCAATTATAAATCCTGTGACGATCCATTTTTTACATTTGCTTGATCATACTGACATCGCACAAACCCAAATCCAAGAACCTAATTTATAATCTTCCTTTACCATTCTGTTTTTTCAAAATGCTACAAATTCTAGGATTAAATTGCAGGATGTTCAACTGTCTTGTCAGGAATGGGATTCTTATTTTTCCTTTCTGGAAAGTATATCCTTTCATAAGCCTTGAAGTCTTTCACCTTTTTTTAAGCTGCTATAATTTTTTGTTTCAAAATTGATTTTGCAGGGCTGGAGAGATCATACAGTGGGTAAAGCACTTGCCTTGCATGTGGCTGACCCGAGTTTGATCCCTGGCATCCCATACTGTCTCCCAAGCTCACCAGGAGTGATTCCTGAGTGAAAAACCAGGAGTAACCCATGGGCATCACCAGGTGTGGCCCCCCATCAAAAAAAAAAAAAGAAATTGGGTTTTGCTTTCATGATCATGTGGCTAGAATCTATCATCACTTGGTCTAATGGACACTTTTGTCCCATACCCGGACTCTTCCCAAATTATAGCTAGTTCCTGTTTGAATGAACAATCTGTAAGAACAGAATTTTACTGACCTACTAGAGTTATGCTATGATAAATAAAACTTCCAGCTTGGAAGTCATATTATCTAAACGAAAAGAGTTCACATCAGCTTTTATCTTGTGAATAGAATGAAGTTTCTGTGAAACACACTGATCTTTGTGGACTAGTGTGTGCCTAGAAATAGAAGGCCATTTTTAAAGGAATTCATTTTGACTGTGCTAGACAACTTTAAATTGAATCCCGTATGGCGGACTTAAACAATAAACATGTATTGAGCACCCACTGTGTTACGAGTGGCACTGAGCACAAGTGCTTATCATGCCAAACTGAATGAATATATCACTGTTACGTACAGGTCATTGTCTTCAGAGTCAGAGATTTCAGAACAGAAGAAAATGAGAAATGTATTAATAGAATGCTAACTCCAAACTAATTGGATACTAAATTATACCCTTTAACGTAATGATTCTCAAATTAGGTTTTGAAATGTTTCAGGACATTTTAAGATTATTATTTCCAGAGGGATATTGTGGCCATGGAATTCTGAGGTCTTGAAACTATTTCAGGCACTACTTTAGCAGTGCTCCTATGGGTGAGTGTACTCAACAAGTAAGATTGTAAATGTCCAGATGGATTTTCACCTTATCCTGGGCCAAAAGGTATTCTGTAACTTGTCACAGTAACTAAAATGTTTTCACTCTCTGGATTTTGTTACACATTTCAATTTATGATAGTATAATACCATTATCATGAATGAGTTTTACCTCTATGTAGCATATATATGTGTATATATATATATATATATATATATACACACACACACAATATTCTCCCACTACAAAAACATCTCTTAAAAACATGTCAGCTTGTCTCAACTAGGTTTACTTTGCTCTTTCTGATTCTTTTATAAGGCTTCCTTTAAAAAAAAAAAAAAGCTCGGCTTGGAAAAAAAAAATCAGAGGTCTAGAAATAGTCAATCTGGAAGTGGAAAACTATTTATTGGAAATTCTTGGTGGCTACTCAAAGTTAGATTGTTTGATGATTGATTCTTCTAGGTCCATGACCTCCTGTCTCTTGCCACTTCTTTTCATCACCCCTGTCAATGCCACAGGCAAGCCAAGGACAGTTTGCTAAAAGTTTCCTGGTATTTCTCAAGTCTTATTTTTATTTCCCTCACATACCCTGCCTTAACCCCACTGTCTTGCCTTGAGAAGACTGTAGGTGGATTCACCATGCCACCATGTGGCTAAATATATTGTCAGAGTCAGTACACAGAAAGGAGAAGTTATCTTAGATAACTCTTAATATCACAAGAGCATATTGCCACTCTTCTTTCAAGTAACGTTAACCCACATGTCTTCTGAAACTCAATGTTGAAATGGCCTCTTGGTCATCCTGTGGTATTAGAACCTTTCCAGAATGTGTCCTTTGCTGCCAGAGAAAACAAGTGCCAGCCATGGGGGTGATGAGATCAACAGGGAAAAGGCGTGAAGGAAGCATCTGGCTCCTGTGCTCTTCCAAACCAGCTTGTAAACTCGAGTTTTTATTGGATTCCTCCTGTCAGCTTAGACATCTGATTTGAGGAGTGCCTCCATGATTAAGCTCTAGGACCCATCCAGTCCCCGGCTGTGATGAGGCCTGAATAACCCGTGATCTTCGTTTCTGGTTAGAAACGTGGGAGCTCTTTCCACTCCATGTTTCTTTCCAGTGGTTTATTTGACTGCATCCTAGTGAGGTTAATCTTGACGTGCTGCTCACCTGAGTTCCCTGGAGCTTGACCACTGCTCATACTTAGGTCTCTAATCTTTCTGGACTGTTGCTTCAAAGATTCTTTCCTGTTTTCCCTCCATTGCTGATACTTTCTGGTGGGTCCTGGAGTTTCCTTCTCCTTTTTCCATCTGTGAGAATGCTTTTACTGTGGGAGAAAATAATTTTTATAGGAAAATATTAACTTAAGGCAGATATAAAGAGATTACACATTTTGAACTTTCCTAAGATCATTTATTTCAGATATTCTGTGCAAACTTTCTAGTAGTTTACATACGTTTTGATCTGCTTTTAAGGAAATTAGATATGTAGATAGATATAGATATAAATGACCATACCAGTTTTTTTCATGGTAGAAGGCAGAAATTATCTTATATCATGATTCTCAGCAGTAGAAACTTTTTCTTTCAACAAGTTCCAAGTTTTTCTGGATAACTTACTGGACACGTTGACTTGATCAGCTGCAGTGTCTTTATGGTGAAGGAATTTTCCTTTCCTTTTCTAATTCATTATTTGAGGTAACATGATGAACAGTGTTTCTGTAGTACTGATTTATTCTTGCGCTGCTCTATCACCTCCCCGACACCAGAGTGTCACTAACTCTCCACCACTGTCCCAAGGTCAGATTAGGTAAAGGTAAAAGGTAAAGGCCCTCCCGTTGATCGTCGATTTGCTCGAGCGGGCCCAGTAACGTCTCCATTGGAGACTTTGCTGTTACTGGATTTAGTAATGTTAGTATATGTTTATGTTTTCTTTCACCTTCCAAAACAAACTCCAACCCACTGCTGATGTTAAACTTGGCCATACTGGTGACTAGTTTTGCAGTAGCATAGAATCAAAGTAAAACTGGTTTAAATTGGCACTTACGGAGCAGAAATCAGGACATGTTACTATGCAGCAAAGATTTATGAGCCGAGGGGAGTAAAACCTCCACAGAACAAACATTTAACATCATTAACTCCACATACTCATACCATTTATTTATGTTCAGTCTTTGTAATAGTCCTGTGAAGTTATAAGTGGTAGACTGTTTTGGT